CAGCAGAATGCCAAGACCTCTCTGGGCATGATCAGGACAGGTGGAAGGTGGAAGCGAGGAAGAAGCTCGTGGCTGGTGGGGCTGCAATATAATTTTGGGACAGATAAAACTGATCATGCAAGTCAGGGTTTAACCACAACAGAGGCAAACGGCCCCCACTGGGACTTTTTCCAGTTTCCACTGTCCAAGGTCTCACATCTTACCTACCGAAAATACTCTCCTGCTTCCACAGCAATCTCTGGTATTGGGCCTCGGAGTTTGGCCCTGGAAGGAACATGAGGGAACACCAGAGAAGGGAATGCTCCATTGCTCCCTCAGTGCAGCACCTTGCACAAGGGAAACAAATCCTCTGCTTGGCCAATATGGGCCAAGAAACAGTGGTAAGGCAACAGCAGGTTATCAACAAAGTACCTGGGTCTGGTGCTTCCTGCACAGGCAGGTGGCCTGCAGGTCAGGTAGATGGAAAACAAGAGAGAGGTTTATAACCACAACATGAATGTAGGAGGAGTGACTCCTCCTTTCTGGGACTAAGAGATGAGCAGGGCACAGGTCCAGCAGCAGGCTCAGGCAGCTGTCCTCCCCACCTTTGCACTACTGGCTGGCACCAGGCTTCCTATCCTCATGTTACTGCATGACTCCCACCCTCAAAGGCCAATGGGGCCCTGACGAAGACCTAGGAAATGTTCCATACCAGCCCCTTCAGACATGGAAGCATCTAGAAATGTCCTCAATCCCAATGTGAGAGCAAGAAACCTCCCAGCTGCAAGCGCTGCTGCCAAAGTAGATCCCACTTGTGCCTGATGCTCTTGTAGGTGAAGAAGCAAAGCCTGGAGCACAGCTGCTCCACCACTAGCACTGTCTACAAACAGAGACCATGCTTAATGCCAGTGTAGCCCTAGGACAGCTGCTAGGCTCTTGTGCCAACATTGACACAGGGAATGGGAACACCCAGATCCTTTCTCTGGAACAGCCAAGAGTCCGCCTCTCACAGTGTAGTGGCAGTGCAGATGGAGTGGAGCCCACCTGGCAGAAAGCATCCAATAAGCTGGTGTGATACTGGATGGACGTAGTTCCAGCACTGTAGTTGTGGTGCCCTTTTCCAATCTGTTCCTGATAAGACCACCTTACCCCGGAGCCAAGGAAGGTTTGTCTCTCCTGCCATCACCCCGTGTCATAGCTGCTCCATGCCTGATCTAGTTGACGATGTCCCTGCTCATTGCAGGGGAGGTTGGACTAGATGACCTTTAAAGGTCCCTTCCAACTCAAACTATTCTATGATTCTATGCCCTCTTGCTGCTGCCCTGCAGGGTGCTCATAAGGCCAGCCAAGCCTGCCCCAGTCCAGCTCCCAAACGAGCCCCAGGGATCACTGTAACAAGGCACATTATAATAGTCCTTCCGTGAAATCAGCAATACTTCAGAGTATGTCCAGGTCACATAGTAGCACAGGCCAAGACCCCCCCGCCCCATGCACTGTGGGGAAGGGATGATGGAGGATGCAAAGTAGGAGAACAAGGACCACCCGTGACATGATTACTCCCTTTGTGAGCATGGCTCCCCACATGCATGAACACTGAACGCAGCCTCCACAGCTCTGTCCCACAGCCTCTCTCAAAAGTTGACGTCACTTTCATGTAATGTCTTGTATTCTCAGTGACAGAAGGATGGATGGATCATCCTTTGACTTTGATGCCATCCCCTTTATCTCCATGGAATGCAGTCCTCACCTGGCTTCTCCTTTCCTCCTATTCCCATCATTGCTTTATCCCTGCATTCAGATAGCTCTTCTGTATTTCTTAGCTCTCCCCTACCTGCAGCACTCTTCCCTTATTCTGATATACTCTCCCCATCTCATTGAGTTCCAGGCCCTTTTTTCTTTGTTCTCTCCCTACCTCTCCCTTTCTTTCTGGTAGTGACTTGTTCCTTTTCTTGGTGTGATTTGTCTTCTCTGCTCTGTCCCTTTCACTCATCTATTCTCCTTATCTCTTTCTGCTCCTTCCTCTTCCCTTTTCCCAGTCTTTGCACTCCCCGCTACTCCCTTTCTCTGTGTGCCTTTGTCTGTAAGGAGTTGAAAGTTAAAAGCTTTTCCAACTTGATCCTGAGCAGCTTTCCCTGGTGCTTTCATCTCCACAACGCATTTATAAAACTGCTCAGTCTGAAGAGCCATGACACGAACAACTAAAGCAGTATCAGAAAGAAACAGGACTCCCAACATGGGACGGAAATTTGCCTCCTCCAAGAAAATCTCTCAGTTTCACTAGCATTGAGGTCCTCTCTTCACAGTTCCTGTAAACACAACATAAAAACTGCTTACCAAGATTTCCTCTTCCTGGCCTTCTACTCCCTGATGGGTTTGGTACTGGGAGGGGTAGAAACAGGTCTGCCCAAGAGCTCCCCGTCACCTCCTGCCAAAAAGTAGCCATGATTGACTTGCTCTCCTTCCCCTCTTGCTAGCAGCTCCTGCCAGGTTTGTCATTCCTGCTGTATCACAAACTGCTAGCCAGAGGGAAGAGTTGATCACACCAGGAAGGATGCTCTGGCTCTTGTCCAGTCCTGCTCCCTGCTCCTCCTTCATGCAAAGATGGCAGAGACCTGGCAAACTCTCCCAGCTAATGTGTCATCAGCCCCTTTCAGCTGCCAAAAGGAGTTATTTCTTACCACTTTCTCATGTGTTCTGTGCAGGGTCCAGCATTGTTTGGGGTAGAGCAGCTGCAAACAATGAATTCTGGAAAATTCAGGGAAGAAGTGCTTTCAAGTCACGGCTTTCTTGATGCTTCCGTGCAGCCTGTGCTTTGCAGGGCTCATATGTGAGCACAAAAGTATGGTTGATCTTACCTGTGATCGGTGGCAGGGAATTCCAGAATTACCAGTACAGATCTATGCTGTGTCACGTGGAGCAAGTCAAAGTGCTGTCTGTTTACTTGGAAATTTGTTGCTGAGAAGCCCATGAATCCTTGCTATCCTCACAACTCTACAAGAGATTAATCTCACTAAATCCTCCTACTTCTTCCCTATTGGAGAAACGGATTCAGCACAGGACAAGCTCTGTGACTCACCTCTCTGTTGGCAGAGCCAGCTCCCATTAATCTAACTCCCTGTCTAACGTCCACATTTGGCTGGCAGGCAATCCATCTCCAGTCCAGCTCTCTGTCCAGGATCCAGCTCCCCTGTCAGTCAGAGCCTACCTAATGCTGGGTGCCTTGCAGGGCTTCTCCCTGGTGGGACAGGGGCAGTCTGTAGCGCACTGCTCAGGACAACAGCAAGGGACAGAATCTAGGATGGATGGGTGCTTGCTAGGCAAAGCAGTATCTGGCTGCAGTGGCAGCTGGGCTCAGCATCTGCCCAGCAGATCTGTTTTAATTCTTTGACCTCAGCCCACCTCAACTCAGCAGAACAGAGATTCACAAAGCTCAGCCCTACCAGTCTTGGTCTTCATGGGGTGCAGGATTCAGTCTGCTGCCCTCCAAGTTGACCCTGAAAGGAGCTGAACACTAAGTGTTAGGACTGGCAGAGAGGGATTTGCTTCCAGAGATGCAGCTCAGGATGCCATGGAGGCTGCATAGAAGCAAGTCCCCCTGTCAAACAACTCCCTGCAGAGGGTCCCTGAGTGGTCACATTTGCTCCTGCTGTGCTTAGCAGCCACCTTTTGCAAGCTGCATGTCCTTGCCTCACACTGCCTGTCTCCTGGGGGCTGAAATGTGGGATGCCACATTACATGCCCAGATGGCCTTCTGCCTTTTCCTGGGTGCTGCTCTGGCACAGGTCTTGAAAGATGGACCCCACAGGCTAGTTGCACCACATGACTTCCTTCACACCCCACAGATAGCAAGAGGCCTCTGCACGCCACAAAAGGTCCAGCATTGTGATTCCTGCTGGAGATAGGGGCAACAGGTGAAGGCAGCAATTCTGTGCTCACACAGGTCCTGCAGAGTTGGGGACACTCCCTAACACATCCCAGAGTGCACCCACATGCAACCGGAGCTGACACAACATGGTTGTGAGTGGCAGAGCCCAGTGCTGCCCTAAGTTTGATGGGCACACATGGGCCAAAACCCCCAATCTATTGCCCAGAGCCATTTCTCACATGCCACCCCACTTACTTCTGACAGCCAAATGGCCCTGCCTTGCTGAGGCTCTTTGGTGCTGCTTTGAGTCTTTTCCTGGGTGCATTTGCACTGTCCCACACATTTAGGCACTGCCTGTTACCAGAGCCTGTCAGCAACTCCCACCTTTATTCTTCCCAAGTACTGTGTCATTTGCAGACTCCACGGTGTCAGCCTTGTGATTAGATTCCAATGCCTTTATGAATAATTTGTTGCGCAATTATAAAGCAAATATTTAATTGAACTTCATGTAAAATTGCTTCTGCCTCTCAGCACTGAACCACTGGTTTGGGATAGGGCGTTGTGTGACCACATCAGGCCCCAGGAGCCCTGTAAAGAGGCTAGCAACAAACTGCCAGACCCCTTCCCCAGCAGACTGTGGCCTGCGTGCAGACAGCCGGTCCTGGTTGCTCCCAGCTGAGCCTATGGAGGGGAGTGCTAGGGCATGGCTCTGCACCGGCCCCAGAGACTGCTGCAAATGCACCAGCTGCAAGATTGCAGTGCAGCTCCATTCCCTTGGGAGCATGTCTGCAGGAACTAGCAGGAGAATGTGTTGTCCTCAGCTGAGCAGCAGGACGAACCAGCTGGAGCATTCCCACAGTGTGACCAGTACCACGTTGGAAGAGCCCAGCATGAAGTATGTCACTGTAGAAAACATTTCTGTGACAAGTTGTTGGCAGTCAGGTTTCAGCACAAGAATAAGGACACGTGCAAAAACACTGGCCTTCCTTTTTTCCAGTCCTTTTCCTTCCAGGACAAGACCGGAGTATGCATATGAGAAATTTGCACTGCAGCTGACTCTTTAAGGGAGGGAATGCCTCTGAACACCGGCCATGTCTCAACAACACAGGACACCAGTCTGAACTGATAACAAGAGCTTTGGCACCAGGGTGCCTACCTGGGGGAGAGGTTCCTCAGCACACACTAGGGACAGCAGTCTGTGCAGAAATATTCTGTGTACTATGACATCACCTGCAGGCTCAGCTGGAAGACTCTGAGTGGAGGGGGTCTGGACACACCTCAGATTGGCTATGGCATCACCTCTGTAGGGAAAAACATCTGTATCAGCAAAACCAACAGAACTGGACAAAATCCTAATTTACTGTGGTCTGTAAAAGAGGCTGAAGTGCCTATTTCCAGTGAGGTGAAATTGAAATTGAAAGGGGAAAACGAGTGCATTGAAGAGATCAGAAGCTCCTTTCCAAGCACGTATCTGGTGCAGGTAATTGCTAACTGACCTGGAGGGGCTCCTGAAACCGACCTAATGCAGCAGATTTTGCTGCTCAGAGTGACTCTGGGGCTGGGGACAGGCATGCGCATGCAGTACCCCTAGCTGAAAGGCTGGCATGACAGGACAGGCTGCTGTGGAGTTGCGGGGCTAGCAATGGAAAATGCAAGGCCTGAGGCCAGGTAGGTGTTGTGGAAGAAGGTAAGAGTAGCCTGTGTGATGCTCACCCCCATAAGTATCCTAATCCTAGCCAAAGTGTGTATGGCTGGAAGAAAGGGCCTGGTTAGCTGCTGGAAGCTGGAAACTTGTCCTTGCGTGGGGCAGGCCTATTTGCAGTGATGGGGGAAGGAAAGCTTAGAACCTAACCTGGAGTGGCTGTGCTGACACACTGGGAACGGATGAATGGGGAATCTGCTCAGATGAGCTCAGCAGCTGAGGCACTGGATCTGGACCACAAGGTGGGAGCTGAAGTCCCTGTTCCAGTACTGAAGGGTGCAGAAATGCAGCGTACCCTGCTGACAGTAGTGCATCATTACTAGTTTCTCCTCACAGACTATAGTAAAGAACAGCAGTTTCTCATGGGAGCCTAGGGATATCCCCTTCCCCAGCAGCACTTCCTTGCCTCTCAGCTCAGTTTGGGCAGCCCCCTTAACTCAGATCTTGCTTTTATGGCTACAGAAGGAGCAGTGCAACTTACCCTTTGGCTCCCAGCCATGTGCTCCTTGCTACCAGCTCATTCCAGGACCAGGTCCATTAGCTGTTGCCTCTGGCAGGTCCCCATGCTTCCCATTCCTTGTTGTTTTTTACTAATAGGCATTAAAGGTTCCTTTCAAGATGCACCTTTCTGCTTCCTCTGCAATCCAGGCACTTCTTTAATAAATAGCATTTGTACTGGCTCTGTGATGTCTATTTGTCTTTGAGCTTTCATCTCCGCTGCTGGTTGTGCCCAGTAAGAAATGCTGCCACTCAGCCTATAAAAATTAATGGTTGGGGCAGTTATTTGTAGAAGTCATTCAGTATTTGCCTTGCTAGTCCACTCCCAGAGTATGGCCTGAAGAAATCCCAGAGGTAAGTGTTTGGCTCTGATGGTAGGCGGGCAGACAGCGTGACTGAGAGGTGAGCCAGGGAGAATGACCCCCGTGATGTGGGATGTGTTCCCACAATGCCCTTCCATTGATGGCAGAGGCACTCATTCTAAGCTGTCTGCTCCCAAAACCTACAGCTAGACGCACAGCTCACCACCCAGGCGTTGCAAGAGAGTGGATAACTGAAACTATGACCTAGATATGCAAAATAACACACCAGAGCAAAGAAAATGAAGGAAAGGCTATTGGGTCTGCGCAGCATCCAAGTGTCCTATCTAGATGGAAATCTTAGGACAGGGCTAACTGGCAGGGATTCCATCATACTAACCTACATTGAAACTGCCTTTTTCTTGAAGTTAGCTGTGGCAACAGAGTGGCATTTCTTGGCTGTTTTCACCTCTCCACAGGGTAAAGTCTATGAGATGGTCCTACTGGCCAGAAGTCCTCCAGAGCCATGGCTGTGACTGCAGCTCTTATGAACGCACATTCTGAATCACATTTTGCAGGCTTTTACAAGTATATGGTTTAGGGCCATATCTGCTGTAACTTGGAGCCTTCTGGGAAATACTCCTACTTTCTGTAAGTGCTCCATATCCGTTGGCAATGATGGTTTCTTCTCTCCAGTGTGTGCTCCTCTGGGTGGGCGGAGGACTCCTCTTGCCCAGCAGACTTCTGCTGCTGCAGTTTCTGGCTCTTGTACATAGACTTGCCTTTCCTTTTATGCTGTATGCAGAATTCTGCAGATTAGAATGTGTCCACCATTCTCACAGATCCTCAGCTCCAAGGTTTTACTGCAGGTCTTTAATTCTGTCACATATTGATTGACTGTTTCTGCTTGCATGAAAAGGATTTGAAATGTTAAAATGATTCATTGTTTTGCAGGATACACGGCCACATTTTATCATGTTTACATTTTCTCTTACATGTTCCTTTCCTCCTCCCACCCCAGGCACAGAGACTGGGCTTTTGTGTTAGTGCTTCTTTCATCTGCACTAATTGCTGTTAAGTGGATCTCAAACTGCCTGACAGTTTCCGTTCTCTACTGCATCCCAGCAGGGAAGGATTTAATGCTGGACCCTGTGATACACTTGTTAGTTCTTCCAAGAGCTCCTGAAAACTATTGAAGTTCATACTTAAGTTTTGTCAGAGATACCTTGCAAAGAGAAGTGTATGTATGAGGAAAATACTGTCTCCATTGGAGCTGCTACTCAACCATCCCTGACAAAAGTGACTTAGGTTTCTGAATTGTAGGGGGTTAAAAATAATTTCCCAGAGTATCTTTCTGTGCCCCTTGTCCTGAGAACTAGCAATGCTTGACATTGTGCAAGCACAGATCACAAAGACTACTGATGGCAGCACATACCCCCTGGGACATGGGGAGGGAAGTCTCATCTGCTTCCAGACCTTGTGTAGTTCAGTGAACACTGGGAGAGTCAAGGATAGGTGCGCTCTACACTCAGCAAAGATGAGCAAGCTAGCCAAAAGCTCTGCATTGCCATTGCTCAGCATACTGCAAGTCCTTCCTTCCTCCACCAGTACCTGGAGACAACGGGCTGGTGACTCTTGAGGCACCTCCTTTTGCTCAGCAGCACCTAGCCCAGAAGTTATCTCTCCAGTAGGACATGTTTGCCCATTGCCTTCTTCACTATGTTTCAGAACTGCCAAGACACACACACTGGTTTGGCATTTAACCCCTCTTGTCTCTGGGCTGCCAAGCAAGGCCCTGAGTCCCTCACATAAACATGGTATGGTGGTTCAGTCCACAGCACACATAGCAATCCTTCAGTGGTGCTGCTGGGGAGCTGCCTCATTGCAGAGCAGCAGCCTGTAAGGGCAGCTGGGCAAAAATGAGTCCACTGTCCCTGTGGTGCCCCAGCAGCCTTGGCCTCCAGGCTGACAGAATCTGAAAGGCCATGCCCAAGTAGGGCCATCCAATGCTCAGAGTGTGGCTGCTTAGAGAATCCTTGAACTCGCCTTTGGACAAAGAGCAACAGCCTGCACCAGGGCCTTGAGGCAGGGATAAGGGGCAGGCTACACATACCACTTCTTTCTCTTAAACTTCAAATGCACCATCAGACCTAAATTATTCACTTGTAATCCCTGGCATTAGCAGCAGCTCAGAGAGGATCCCGCTCAGGTGACGAGAAGGAAGAAAGAAAAAAAAAAGAACCCATTAAATTTAAAAACTTCTGAGAGTCATAAAATGTAAAAATATATTCAGGAGAGAAGCCAGGCAGGAATGGGGAAGCTGGGTGCAAGCAGGGTGTGACACTGTCAGCTCTCTGAGCTTGAGGAGGATACCACAAAAGATGAGGGAACCTGAGGCTGAAAAGGTTGGTGAGGCTTGGTAGACCTGGGTGTTCAGCTCCGTTACCTCTTGTAACCCCTCACGGTCCTTTGTCCTCCCTCTGTGGTGCAGATGGAGTGAGAAAGGAGCAGGAAACACGCAGAGGAAGTAGATCTGTGCTAAGAGTGTCCACACTGAGAGCAGAGGCCTGCTCAGGGGACTGCCCTCTCCCTCTCCACAGCCAGACTCCTGGCTCAGTCTCCCCAGAGAAGGTGTTGGGGACCCCCCAACACGTGGAGCTGCTGTGTCACGGTGCCAGCAGCAGCCAGCAGCCCTATCCCCTGGGACACAACCAAGATGCCCAGAGCTGCCTTGGCTCCTGCAACATAATTGGAAAACCCTTGTTTACACAGTTACAAAACTAACTGAAAACAGAGGGCAGCTCCTGGCAAGGCATGGGCTGTAGGGAACTGGAATGAAAAGCATTTAAAATGTCTTGCTTCACCAGCTTGGCTGCCTTTGTGCCTACCAACTTCAGTCTGCCCCTGCAGTCAGTACTCCATCACCTCTGAAACAAACTGAGAAACACTCCCACCTCAGGCCTGGGAGCATGTCCTGGCACAGCTCCCCTGGAGTCAGCACCCCTCCCCATCTGCCAGGGACACAGCAAACAGCAGCCACTTGAGGGAACTGCAGAAGTGTCTACAGCCAGAGGCACAGCTGCAGCCCAGCTCAATCTCCACAGCACAGCAAGCCCAAGCCCCACGTCTCTGTCTCAGGCCAGGCTACACAAAAGCCAGAGGGTCTGACAAGAGAGTGGTGGGGCACCCACTAGCTCAGCCCTTCCCAGAAGTTCTGGGGATAGCTTCAGGAGACACAGGAGAAATTACAGTGTTCTGGCTCAGTCTCAGTGGTCCTGCAGTCACAGAGCTTGACAACACCACATGAAAGGTCTTCAATCTGAGCTCCATCCAGGCAGGTGGGCAGCTCTCCTTTCACCTTCACCTGTTGCCAGTGGCACATTGCAAGCAGCTGTGGGGAGGCCAGACAGAGAGCAGCAATGCAGACACTAACTAGGTCTGCCAGCAAAGCCCCGATTCCAGGTGTTCACTGCCCTGGCATACCTCTGCAGGGCTGAGGGGAAGACTTAGAGAGGACTGCGCCTCACAGCAATTGGGAGAAGTGGTGGCTTTAGAGTCTCCAGGATGCTCCAAGGCATCCTCTTATTGCAGCCCCCTGGCTCTCTGTCCTCAATTGTATGGACCCAGACCCAGGATAAGCTTTGTGTTTCCAGCCTCTTGCAAAACAGCTCAAGCTGCCTGAGCCCACTCAAATCCAGAGACTCCGTATCAGTTCCCAGATGCACATCTGAGAAAGCGGCTGCAGGCACTGCTGGGGATGTACCAACCTGGCTTGGAGGGGGCAGCCTGAGACTATTACTTACCAAGACTCTGCAGACAGAGCAGCTGCACCTCCCAGTGAAGGCTGCCCAGCACGGGCAGGGAGCATGGATCACTCCTCAGAAGAGCAGCCAGATGGGAAGGTGTGTGTGAGCCTGATAACAGCTGCTGCTTTGCTCCTCTCACTGGCAGGCCTGCATGGGGCACACAGGTGCCAGTGTCTGGGGCTCCAGGAAAAGAGGGTGGGGGCCCTGGGCCCTGAGGCCAGGCTGACAGCTCTGTCCTTGAGAGCCCCCAGCACAGCGCCTCCTGCTAGAACCTCCCCAGTGAGTGCAGACTGAATGCTCACCTCCACAGAGTAAGGGTAGGTGGGATGTGCGTACCCTTGGTGTGGTCAGACACTGCAGGTGCTGAGCCAGGCTCCTCATGCCTATGGCAAGCACAGAACTGGGTGCTGTTGCGCAGAGCAAGAAGCCAGCACCTCTTCCCTACCAGGGCTTAAGGAATTTGTCCCTGCCTTAAGGCAGACTAAAGGACACAGAGTGGCTGGCTCTGGACCACCCAGGGCAGGACAGGAGCCCAAGGCCCATCAAGTGCTTCACTTGTACTGAAGTGCAAGGGGTAAAGCCAGGTGGAAGAAAAGAGCAAGGCCTGGCTGTTAGTGGCAGGAGTGCTGAAATTCACTATTAAACTATACTCTAAACTGATTTTTACAGTTCTCTTTCCTCTGAAGACAGTGAAAACACAGTGTCAAGTAAGCTGCCCCCACTTTTCTGCACAGCAATCAATAACCCACCACTGCATCAAACCAGATGGAAGTAGGCACCTGCACCCAGCACACACTGCTTCCAATTCATTCACCCTCCACCAAAGGCACCTCAACAAGCAAAGCAGCTCTATGCTTCACCTGCCGAACCAACATAGCACCAGAGCGCAGGCAGGGTGCTGAGCAGGCTGGGGCAAGTAAGCAAGGATGGAGGATGTTTCCTGGAAGTGGAAAGGAAAGGAAAGGAAGGCCTGGGAAATGTCTCCTGATGCCTGGGGATCATGGAAACCACAGGCAACAGGACAAACTGGAGGGTCACTGGTTCAGCAAGTTTACGCATGCTCCTGCATCAGAACTTGCTGCCTCAGTCCTGGCAGTCTTGCCATTTAGATGGAGGATAGATGTGATGTCAAAGACAAAACCTGGGCTTTTCAACCCATTTTCACATTCTGTGCCTGTAAGATGGGCTTGAATTGTTAGGTAGGTAGAGACTACAACAATTGTACCAGGGAAGGAGGTAGAAGACCAGGCAGAGAGTGAAGAATGTGATCAGTCACCGAACAATAAAAAAAGCCCTAAAGCCCAAGGTCCAGCACTTGCCTTTTTTCTCATGCAAACCTCTCTGCACCCTTGTTGTCAGCAAATCTGGAATTGACCTCCATCCCCTGCAGGTATGGAAGAAGGTGAGAGGGATCAGCAAGGCACTGCAAAATTGGTTCTATTTTCACATGCATGGGAGGCCTTTGAATGAAAAAGGGACTGCACATCACCTCTATTTCCACCAGACAAAGGCACTAGAGCTTCCTGGGCCAGCAGTGCCCAAACTCTTGGGAGTTACTGTCCTTGGCTGTAGAGGCAGTACAGGCCTTTCTTTGGGCATCTTAACACTTTAGGTCCATGAATGTCCCAGGCAGGCTCCCCCCTACCTGCTAGGACCGTCCTCACCTATTCCTGACTTTGCCGGGAATTCTGGGCAACAGGGCTGCAGCTCCTGGCCTGGTCCCATGGCAGAGGCTGTGCTCAACTCCTGTTCCGCAGCACCAGGGAAGGGCAGGAGCAGCAGCAAAGAGCACATGATGCTGAGGCAGGCAGCACCCTCCCCCAGAAGATGGCTGCAGGTGCCACTTCTGCATCAGTTGGAGAGACTTTTCTTCCTGCACAAGGCCAGTGACTTGGCTGCAGCAGCCCAGTACTGACATCCAGACCCCAGCAGAGCTGCAAAGAACAGCCCCCCCACTGGTGTTACACCCCACCCTTTGCCCATTCTCTGTGGCCTAAGGGTGTGCAAATCCCAGCACCCCATCCCATTCCAGCTGCTTGCCGCCGCAGAGTGGAGCCAGGCAAACAGCTTGTCAGGAACAAAGCCCTTTCCCGAGTGGGATGGGCTGCCTTGCCTGCAACTAAATATTCAGAGGCACTGTGCACTAGCCCTTTGATCAGCAATTTATCTCTCCATGTCACAAGTTTCCTGGAGCCTGGCGTTTCCGCCCTGTGTTCAGCCTAGGTCCCAGGAGCCTGGGAGACAGGTGTGTGGAATTAGCTATAGGGACTAACGCTCTGACAGGAATGAGCACCAAAAGCAGGGGACAAAGTGTAATGTTTATTACATTTGAAGCAGAGCAAACATGTGGCCTACTTAGGTATCTGGAGAGAATTAATTGGGGAGCTCCACAAAGCAGCAGATTATAAATTAGAATCATTTTCACCAACTTCAGCCATTCATCTTATTTCACACTAGGCCTGTCAGCTCAGCCTGATGCGGCCATGTGCAGCCCCAGACCCACAGGCTTCTTGCTGTCTGGTGGCACAGGGGAACTGTCAGCAGCCAGCCCCATCAGCACTGCATGCGTAAACCCACAGGAAGCATGTGGGGTTGAGCCGAGACACATGCCTCGAATGGAAAGCAAACTCAGAGCCTTGAGGATGGCTCCAGAGGTGCCGAGTGCCACCAGCTGTCATCTGCAAGGGTATCCAAAGTGCTCTGCTCCAGGGACTTGCCCCAGAGACAGCAGAGATGCCGGGTGCCAGCCCTATGGTCCTCCATCTCTCTTCACTGGCAGGCAGCCAGCAGAGCTGCTGGGAGCCAGCAGAGCTGTGGATGCACCTCCTCACCCTCCCCACCCTGGTTAGGATCCCAGGTGTGGGACCAGGCTTTGCTGATGTGACATAATAGGCAACCTCAGGCCAAGGTCAGGTGGAGACTCCCTTGGCACATCTTAGAGGTCACTCCTGGGGACACTGCCCATGATGTGCAGGTGCCTACCTGGAGCTGCTGGGGGTGTAATGCCCTGCATGCACAAGGCACTGGGGGCCTTGGAGTCACACCTCATGGAGGGGCAACCCATCGGCAGACAAATTGCTGCAAAGCAGCTTGTGCCTGAGGCACTCCAGCCCTCAATAGCCCAGGGCCCAGTAGGTGCCCTGAGGGGCACTTCAAGAAATGCCCCTGAGGCATTTCAGGGATTCTGGCCTGGAGCCAAAGCACACAGAGCAGCCACTGCCACTCTGATGGTGGGATCTTGCCCACACCTCTCAAAGCAGAGGGTTAGAAGAACTCTGGTTTGGCCTATACCTGTAGATCTCAAGGGGACAGCATGCAAAATACTATATTGATGCTGGGAACATTTCTCTCTGAAAGGTCACTTGC